ACCACGCCCCCTTTCTGACCCTGCCTTGCCACCGCGCACGCGCCGCAGGGACGCCTGACGTCAGCGGGAGGAATATCACGTGACGTCCTCATCTCCCTTTCCCCCCTCCCTTCTTCTTTTCCCCCCTTCAAGGAAAAGGTCGACGCCCTTGGCCTTTTTTTTTTTCCCTGAGGGATTAAAAAAAAGAAAAAAAAAGAAAGAAAAAGGGGGCGGGGACACTACTCTTATAGAGCTGCTCTTCCACTTTTAACGGCTCCGGCTGCCTCGCGTTGCATTCTGGGATTTGTATTTCCGTGAGGGGCGTTTGGAATTCTCAGCCTGAGAGCGCTTTAGGCCCTCGCTGAACTACAAAGCCCAGAGTGCAACAGGACAAGAGGCAGGCAGAAGCAGTTAAAGTGGAATAGCAGCACTGTTAAAGAGTGCAGTGGGGTTATCTGTTAACGGCCAAAAGACACTGCAGAAATAATCCAGTTTGAGACCGCTTTAACTGCCCTGGCTGAGGGTTAGGGACTCCTGGGAACTGTAGTTTGTGGTGGCAGCAGAGCTCTCTCTGACAGAGAAGGCTAAATGTCTCACAAAGCTACAATTCCCATAATTCCTTAGCCTTGAGCCAGGATAATTAAAGCTGTATCAAACTGGATTATTTCCAGTTTGTGGCAACCCTATTATGGGGGTTTCTTCTTAGCCAGTTTCTTCAGTGTTTTTTTTTTTTTGGTCAAGGCTGAGAGAGTGTGACTTGCCTAAGGTCACTCATTGGGTTTCCATGGCTGAGCTGGGATTCGAACCCTGGTCACCAGAGTTAAAGTCTAATGTTAAACCATTTTCCCTCTTATCTCCCTTTCCCTCTTAGCTACACTGTGGAATTAATACAGTTTGACACTGCTTTAACTGCCACGGCTCCATGCTGTGGAATTCTGGGATTTGTAGTTATGTGAGCTATTTAGCCACCTCTGTTTTATTTATTATTTATTTCATTTGGGGTATTTATACCCTGCTCTTCAGCCACAAAGGCTCTCAAGAGTGGCTTGTTCTTGTTGTGTACCTTCAAGTCATTTTAGACTTATGGCGGCCCTACTATGGGGATAATAATAATAATAATAATAATAATAATAATATTTCTTACCCACCTGGATCGAACAACAATCAACAATTAACAACCTCTACTAAACACTTCAATTAAAACATGCATCAGTTTAAAAGGACAAATAAAACATAGACATTTTAAAACAGTTTGCGTTTAAAATTCAACGCCTTAATTCACAATTTAAATTTATCTGGATAGGCCTGCCGGAAGAGACTGGTCTTCAATGGTGTTTTAATTAGACCACAATGAAATCCTGACTGACTTCAAAGGACTTGGTACCAGGCAAGGGAATAAAGGCTCATTATTACTTTTGACCAGCTCTCTGTCCCCAGGGACTGAAAAAAAGAGGAGACAGCCTTACATAACTCACCACTCACTTTTCTGTATCCCCATAGAGTAAAATGGCATCTCCTCTATTAAACCTTTTCCTTTAGTCAATGAGAGCATACTAAAACAAATGAAAGTACTTGCCCATGGGGAAACACTGGAGAATACTTGCCCATAGGGAAACACTGGGGAAAATTTGCCCATAGAGAATCATTGCAGAATACTTGCCCATAGAGAATCACTGCAGAATACTTGCCCATAGGGGATCATTGGGGAATACTTGCTCATAGGTAAACATTGCAGAATACTTGCCCATAGGGAATCATTGCAGAATACTTGCCCATAGGGGATCATTGGGGAATACTTGCTCATAGGTAAACATTGCAGAAAACTTGCCCATCGGGATACATTGAGGAATACTTGCCCATAGGGAAACACTGGAGAATACTTGCCCATAGAGAATCATTGGAGAATACTTGCCTATAGGGAAACATTGGGGAATACTTGCCCATAGGGAAACATGGGAGAATATTTGCCTATAGGGAAACACTGGAGAATACTTGCCCGTAGGGAATCATTGGGGAATACTTGCCCATAGGGAATCATTGCAGAATACTTGCCCATAGAGAATTATTGAAGAATACTTGCCCATAGAGAATCATTGGGGAATACTTGCCCACAGGGAAACATTGAAGAATACTTGCCCATAGGGAAACATTGCAGAAAACTTGTCCATAGGGAATCATTGCAGAATACTTGCCCATTGGGAATCATTGGAGAATACTTGCCTATAGGGAAACATTGGGGAATACTTGCCCATAGGGAATCATTGGGGAATACTTGCCCATAGGGAAACATGGGAGAATACTTTCCCATAGGGAAACACTGGTGAATAATTGCCCGTAGGGAAACATTGGAGAATATTTGCCCATAGGGAATCATTGGAGAATACTTGCCTGTAGGGAAAAATTGGAGAATATTTACCCATAGGGAAATATTGGAGAATATTTGCTCATAGGGAAGTATTGGGAATTCTTTGCCCATAAGGATACACTGGGAATACTTGCCCAGAGAGAATCATTAGAGAGAACTTGCCAATAGGTGTACATTGGGGAATACTTGCCTATAGGGAAATATTATAAATTCCTTGCCTATAGGGAAACTTTGGGGGATACTTGCCCATAGAGAAACATATGAAACATCTCCAATACTTCCCTATGGGCAAGTATGGTTTCTCTCTATGGGCAAGTACTATCATTTGTTTCAGTATGTCCCTAATAAATGTGTTCATTTCCAAGGTAGGAATTAACAATAGGAAAGCTGTATCTAACCAATACACAAAGTAATTTAATGTCAAAATTTAGGATATACCAAATATGTTACTAAATATAAAAATTCCTTATAAATAACTTATTAAACTTTTTTAAAAAGACAAATTAGTAAGTCACAATTATACAATTTAATACAATCACCAAGAAATACATAAGCAATTAATTTTTATACAGGAGAACCAAAGTCCTTCAAGGAAGGAAAATATCTGCAGTCTAAAAAGCCCTTCTTGATACTTTTATTCATAATTTTGTACTACAAAAATATTTCCCTATTTTCATGTTTATTTCAATTAACAATAAATAAATCCTATTGTCTGTATTATACTTAACCCAGAGAGTGAATTAATTACTTCCTGCAGCATCTGGACTAGGAATGAAAATTTATCTCAGATAACAAAAGGAAATGAGTGGCTGTTTTCTGACATTTAATGCCATAATAGGAGACATTATGGTCACTGTGTCTGAGGGTTGTCTCTGCAAAATTATGATGGGGAGGAGGTATCTTGAAAAGATTTTTTAAAATGTAACTAATTTTTTCTGCACACTTCATTATAAATATTCCTTTGTTCTAAAACCAAATCACTGTCTCAGTAGATTTTTTTGGGATAGATTGCCCTTCCAGATTTTTTTAGACTTCAGTTTTCATAATTCCCAATGACTGACAATGTTGGTTGCAGCTGATGGGATTTGTAGTCAAAATCACACCCTGGGGAAGGTTGATATTGACAAACATGGTGGATTGTTTTCTCTCATATGCACTGAGCTACTATTATTCCTGCACTCACCCCCAATTCTGATATCTCTTTAAAGGTGTTTATTATATTATATGTATATCCCCTCTTGCCATGATCACATGCAGATCAACTAACAAAATAAAACCTGCACCAAGCAATTGCAACACATCTATTAGAAAATGCCACAACAAACATAAGAATCTGAAGACTGGTTAGCTACTTTGCATCTTTTCTTTTATTGCCTTCCATTGAAGGTGATAGCAACAAGTTTCTTTGCTGCAAAGCTTGTTAAACTGGCTAAACCAGATTGTACTTCCAAGTGCAAAATGCTTCAGTAATACACAAAGTCCTGCTCAAGAGAAAGAGTTTCACTGCTCAAAAGAACTTGTGTATTTTGCCTTAGGGTGGAAAGAAACCTGGGCAACACCTGGATTTTATATGTTCAAAAATGGGGGGGTCTACCTCTGCTTGTTTCTTCTTCCCAACAACTCTTGGCACAGGCTTCCTTCCATCCAAAGTCACTGCAGTACTTTGGCTGATTTGAATGTCTGTAAAGAGCCAGCATGGCATAGTGGTTTGATTGCGACTCTGGAAGCCAGGGTTCGATTCCCAGCTCTGCCATGGAAACCTACTGGTGACCTTGGGCAGGTTACACACTCTCAGCCTCAGGGGAAGGCAATGGCAAACCTCCAGTGAAGAAATCTGGCCAAGTAAACCCCAGGATAGGGTTGCTTTAGGGCAGGGGTAGGCAATCTAAGGCCCAGGGGCCAGATGTGCCCCCCACAAGGCCTTTGGACCTGCCCCAGACTGGTCCTGCCGCCGCCGCCCGGCATAATGATATTGATTATTGTTGTTATTACTTGTTCTTGGGGTTTTCTTGGCAAAATCTCCACAGGGGTTTTGCCATGGCTTTTCTGGGGCTGAGAGAGTGTGCATGCATATTTTTTAATTTTTTAAAATTTATTTATTTATTTATTTATTTATGGTGCTTCGGGACCCCCAATTGTCTGAGGGACAGCAACCCAGCCCCTGGCTCAAAAAGGTTGCCTACCCCTGCTTTAGGGTCACCAAAGTCAGAAACAACTTGAAGGCACACAACAACAACAACAACAACATTACCTTCCAACGCGTCATCTTAAAAATGAGACTATATTCAGACTTCAAGACTAGACAACTTCCTCACTTTATTAACTATCTAGCTTGAAGAGTTCTGGACAGCTTGAACCCTTACATGCAGTTTTGTGGCATTACGGGTGACCTAATAAAAAGTTTTACCCTAATACAGAATTGAGGATTATTTCAGGTACATTGTTGTTGTTGTTGTTGTTGTTGTTGTGTGCCTTCAAGTTATTTCTGAACTTATGGTGACCCTAAGGCAAACCTATCATAGGCTTTTCTTGGCAAATTTATTCTGAGTGGCGTTGGCATTGCCATCTTCTGAGGCAGAGTGTGATTTGTCCAAAGTCACCCAGTGGGTTTCCATTGCTGAGCCAGGATTAGAACCCAGGTCTCCCAGCATCCTAGTCCAATGCTCAAACAACTACACTATGCTGGCCTGCTCTCAGATAGTTTATACACACTTAATACTATATTTTGTTGTTGTTAACTGCTTCCAAGCTGACTTTGACTCATGGCGAACCTGTGGATGAAACATCTCCAAGACCCCATGTCCTCAACCTCTCTGCTGAGGTCCTACAGGCCCAGGCCTGTGTCCTCCCTGATATAGTCTAAACATCTGAGATGTAATCTTCCTCTCCTTCTACTGCCATCCACCTTTCCTAGTGTCATTGTCTTTTCTAATAATTCATTTTTCCTCATGATGTGGACAAAGTGTGACAATCTCAATTTAATCACCTTGGTTTCCAGAGAAAGTTCAGTCTTGATCTGTTCTTGGATCCATTTGTTTGTCTTCTTGTCTATCCATAGTATTCTCAGTACTTTTCCCCAGCACCATATCTCAAATGAGGTGATCTTTTTCCTATCTGCTTTTTGCACTGTCCTTGTATTGAAGACATTTCAATCAACTTTTTTGAACCCACATCACCTTATGGAACACAGCATGAATGTCACTTGTTAACTTCCCTCAAGTCGATCTCGACTCATGGTGACCCTATGGATGAGACATCTCCAAGACCCCCTGTCCCCCACTGCTCTGCTTAATTCCTGCAACCCCTTAATACCCATGACCTCCTTAATAGAGTCCATCCATCTGGCATGTGGCTTTTCTATCTTCCTACTTTCCTCCACCTTCCCCAGCATTATTGTTTTTTCCAGAGTCCTCTCTTCTCATGATGTGTCTGAAGTACGACAGTCTCAGTTTGGTCATCTTGGCTTCTAGGGAGGTTTCTGGCTTGATCTGCTCTAAGACCCATTTGTTTGTCCTTTTGGCTGTCCATGGGATCTTCAGCACTCTTCGCCAGCATCACGTTATCTCAAATGTGTTGATTTTCTTCTTATCATCTTTCTTAACTGTCCAGCTCTCACATTCATACATGGTAATAGGGAATACAATGGCTTGTATGATTCTAACTTTTGCTGAGTTGTATATCTTTGCATTTTAGAATATTTCCTAGTTCTTTCATAGCCACCATCCCCATTCTTAATCTTCTTCTCATAGACAAATATTAAAATCCCAGTTCTTCCTATGCCTAACACAAGGGTCATAAAAACTGGACTGAGCAGTTTCCTAATTTATAAGTTTTCTATATTTTTCTTCATCGTTTCTGAGCAGTGCAGAATGCATACATGTGTGCTCAGAAGCAAGTCTAACTGTATTCAGGGAGGCATACTCTTAGGAAAAAAACCAAACACGAATTATTGTTGTGTGTCTTCAGGCCATTCCAGAGTTATGGGAACCCTAAGGTATAATGGGATTTTCTTGGCAAGATATGCTTAGAGGAGGTTTGCCCTTGCCTTCTTCTGAGGACATCAAAAATCCACCAAACAGTGATACCTTTATTGGAACAACCAAAATGCACAATATACATGTTGCAAGCTTCTGAAGCTCCAGTGGCTTCTCCATCAGGCAAAGATATTAAAAACCATACAGAAGAAAAACATTGAAGATGTTAGTCCTAGGTCTGCATTTTGCTTTTTCTGTTCTCAGTTCAGATGGAATGGGGGTATTTCTTGCAGACTGGCACCACCTCCTTCTGACCCTGTGGCAAGTGGGAGATTCTCAAACTCCATGAAATTTAACATCCATTTGCAACACAAAGAGATACTTCTTTTGCAACCCAGTCTGTCTCTATACTTTGTGAGGCCACAGGCCCCTTTGTTAGGCAGAGGACACTCTGAATTAGTTTAGTGGGTTGTTTGTTTGTTTGTCTGTTTGTTTGTCTGTTTGTTTGTTTGTTTTGGGATGTTATTGGATTTGCTATATAGCCAGCATGGCTACCCTGGATGTCTTCTTCTGAGGCTGAGAGAGTGTGAATTGTCCAAGGTCAGTCAGTGGGTTTCTATAGCTAAGCAGGTACTTGAACTTTAGTCTCCAGAGTCCTAACTGAGTTACAAAATCTCAGGTTATCAGTGATGGAACAAAAATGGAACAAATAAATGGGACAATATTCTACTGCCATCTGGTGGGTATGATTCCCCACTGCCACACCACTTCAGAGCATCAGCATTTAGGGTTGATGGTCCTGCATTATCTTGTTGCCATAAAGATGTAGAGAGATCTTGTAGCATCTTTGAGACTAAAAAAGAAAGAAGTTGGCAGCATGAGCTTTTCTAGACTAAAGTCTACTTCCTCAGATGCATTTCTCAGATGAAGTGGACTTGCCACTTTGTTGCCATACAAAGGATTTTGAATTTGAATTGACTTTCTCACACACCAAGGGCATATATAGATCTGTCCCTGGCTTCTACTCCACCTAATGCATCTGAGGAAGTAGACTTCAGACTACGAAGGTGCTACAAGATCTCTCTACATACTGATACTACAGACTAAGGAGCTTATTGCACCACTAAAAAAGCTTCTTACATCTCCCGAATTGAATTCTAATTCAGGCTGCATCCAGGTACAATTGCATGGATTTTGCTGCCAAATCCACCAGCAGATTACAGGCCGGATGCAGCCCAGGTCCCAGGAGTGCTCAGCAAGCCTCTTTTCAAAGTCGGGAGTTTTCTGACTTTCAAAAATGGCTGACAAAGCACTCCTGGGACCCGGGCTGCATCCAGGCTATAATCTGCCAGCGGATTTGGCGGCAAAATCCATGTGATAGTACCCTGATGCAGCCTGAATTAGAATTCAGTTTGGGAGAGGTAAGACACTTTTTAAAGCGGTGCAATAAGCTCCTAACATGGCTATATCTTTAAACTTTGCCACAAACCAGGATTTCTCAGCTTGGGTTTCAGCAATGAAATTTCGGGAGGTGCAGCAAAGAGTGGTTTGCATCCTTGAATGTTGAGTCACAACAAGTCATCATTCAGTCAGCCCCTTGTGTGCCTTGAGAAGTTGTAGTAGGTGGTTGATTGCATAGCTAGTACCATCAGTCCTCCATATCCCATGGACTTTTTATCCATGGATTCAAGCATTCATGGCTTGAAAAGATTTTTAAAAATGTATAAATTCCCAAAAGCAAACTCTGATTTTGCCATTTTATATAAAGGACACCATTTCACAATGCCATTGTATTTAATGGGATTTGAGCATCCATGGATTTTGGTATTCATGGGGGGTCCTGGAACCAAACCCCAGTGGATACCAAGGATACCTAGTCTCATTGTTTATTTAATCAGAATGAGAGAGTTCACATTTTTTTTCTGAATGAATTAGTATCTAATTGCTCAGACTGGTATTTCATGCACTGAGTTAAAAGCTTTTTTAAAAAAGTTCAGTTTGTTCACCCACAGTTTTGTATGTGGTTCAAATTGCAATTTAAAATTTTGAAATTTGATTTCTTCATCTTCAGATGTGATATCAGTTTTGTAGGAGGTGCGAACATTAACCAAACATTTCCCAGGGATGTGGAGCATAGAAGAGGTTGGAAACCACTGCAAAATGGATTTTTCCATTTTGAACTTTAGGTATGGGAGAAGGGTAGAGAAAACATTTTGCATACAGAAAATTCCCCGTCCTCTCCTCAAATTCACCAATGAAAGGCTTTTGGCAAAATATTACTGCATTTTCCATCAAAGGCATCAGTGGTCTGTCTGTCTGGCTGACTCATGGGCCTTATTGATTGCAGCTGTCAAGTTGTGAGCATCCCAGATAGCCCCATTTTAAAGGATTTTTGACAGCTACAAAGTTGTGTAGTGGTTAGAGTCTGACTCCTCATTTGGCTATGGAAACCCACTGAGTGAGCTTAGACGAGTCCCATACACTCAGCCTCAGAAGAAAGCAATGGCAAACACCCTTTGATTCAGTCTTGCCAAGAAAATGCTATGATAGCATTATCATAAATCAGAGCTGACTTGGAGCCACATAACAACATAATATGTTACATTTTAAAATATATATGTTTATTAGCACCCATCTTATACATCACTCACAGTTACTTCTAACCACAGATGAAAACAAACAGCATGATACAAATTAGTACTAAAGCTAAACAAACAATTACTAATCTAATCATTAAACACATTAAAAACAAACAGTACTTCCTATCACCTCAGTAGGG